GGTTCCCAAGCTGGGTATTCTATGCAGAAGGAGGTGGGCCATGTTCTGGAAAGACCTAAGCTGCAGAGAGTGCACTTCTCCCGTGGAGGTGTTCGCAAGATAGTCAGGGGCCAGAAGGTAACAGCCCAGAAGTTCTAGCCGAAGAGCAATTTTTGCCTTAAGCAACTTCCCTTGGACTTGACTTCAAGTGGCATGTGCGCTACAGGAAAGCCCATTCTTCATAAGCTCAGAGCAAGGACAATTAGAAGCTACTGGGCCAGGGGCCAGGAGATGGGCCAACTCCCTGGCATAGCTGGCCTGGGGCTTCCGAGTCTGGAAGCGAGATGGTGGTTATTACTCGTGGAGGTCTGTCCTGTAGACTCCGACCGAGCAACGAATGAACGAGCGCACTCACACACACGTAATACAGTGTCGAGCGGGCTAGGAGTGCTCGTCAAGGGCTTTCAGAGGTCAGTCGCAGATACCTGACCGCTACTCGCTGCTCTTCACATTTATTAAGTTCAGCTTTAATAACAGAGGTTCTAAGTCAACACGCTTGTGGATAATTAACACGGTGAAAAGAGTGGTTTTACAAATGATAAAAGGTCTTGGTTTTGGGGCCCAGAAGAAACACCATTAAGGAGTAATTCTTCGACCTCCCCCTGAGACAGCTATCTAGCACATAGCTTACGTGATTAAACACAGACAAAGGAATGTGGGGTAAACAGACTTAACTGGGGAAGCTTTTCTTAAGTTAATCTTTACGACTTAATATTTTAACTACGAACTGGCTGCCTTCAGTCCATTCCACAAATTAAGAAAAACCTTTCAGCCTTCCAAAAGGTTTAAGACTATAATCTTATAACTTTCCTGATATTTCCCTTAATATTTTGCCAGCTACCTTGAGTAGAATCTTCACATGGAAGGAGACAGGTGCAGGTAGTGGAGTGTTCAGGAGCTGCCCCCGCAGCACCGCTCCTCAGGAGTCAGGGAGCCACACCCAGCTCTGCAGCATCTCTGCTGTGAGCCCCTCCCTGGCAGGCTGTGTTTCCATGAACCCTCCCTCTGCCCCAGCCCCTCAGGCAGGGACGACACAGCCGAGGGCTGGTTCACAGTGTCCAAAATAAATCGGAGTGAATCACGCCCATGTTCCTTTTTATGGGGCTGGACCTGACATTTGTAAAGAACCCCAGAGCACACTGGCTCAGAGATCTAAAAAGTGCAGTGGGTCATCAGTCACTGACCAGGGCAGCAGCCCTGAAAGTCAGGTGTGGGAGTCAGTTCCCTGTGTCCACTTGTCCAGGGTGTAGCTCCCAGTGACTTAATCCGATGCTAACTGAGGTGGTACTGGGAAGGCATTTTGTGTAGGTAGTTCAGTCAGTTGACCTTGACTAAAGGAGAGTTCGCTGGATAACACAGGTGAGCCCCATCTAATCACGTGAAGGCCTTAAGAAGAAAGCCTGCAGTTTCCAGAGAAGAGATTCTGCCTCGAGTCTGCAGCACAGAAATCCCACCTAGTTTCCAGCCTGCCAGCCTCCCCTGCAGGTCTCAGACCTGCCCACTCCCGCAACTGCATTACTCAATTCCTGAAAATAAATCTCTTAAAATATTAAAATATCCTATAGGTTCTGTTTCTCTAGAGAATCCCAACTGATGCACCAGGCCAGCTCCAGACACAATGCCAGGAGACACATTGAGCTCTGGGGGAGACGGGCATGAGCACTGTATCTTTCTCTTCTATAAAGGGGATTATTAGTGTCAGCCACTCCTACCCCTCCTCCTGGAACATCTTTGGGGTTGGGGGACGATGACACTTGGTGACTGGTTGACATGTGTACATTGCCAGATGCCTCAAAGCTTGGGCGGCCTCTGCAGCCAGTGTTCCTCCTCTGCCTATATCATACCCAGCTGCCCTTTTCCTCGAACGAGGCATATGGGCCAGGTGCGGTCCACCTCGTTCTCTATGTGAACAGCACCTGCCAAACTGACACCACTGCGAATCCACCAGAGGACCCAGAAGACGAGGAGGATGACATGATGGTCTTCACTCAGTATCCACCCACCAAAACACATCACCGATGCTTCAAGAGCTGGAGCAGCATTGAAAGTTTATGACAGGAGCATTCTGGGCACTGTTAGAATTCCGTGAGCCCTGAGAAAGGAAGCTCTTAAAGTCCCCATTGTTCCCTTGAAAGAAAATGTCCAGGCTGGGCACAGTGGCTCCTGCCTGTAATCCCAGCACTTTGGGAGGCCGAGGTGGGTGGATCACCTGAGGTCAGGAGTTCGAGACCAGCCTGGCCAATGTTGTGAAACCCCGTCTCTACTAAAAATACAAAAATTAGCCAAGCATGGTGGCGGGCATCTATAATCCCAACTATTTAGGAGGCTGAGATGGGAGAATCGCTTGAACCCGGGGGCGGAGGTTACAGTGAGCTGAGATCGTGCCACTACACTCCAGCCTGGGTAAAAAAGAGGGTAACTCCATCTAAAAAAAAAAAAGAAGAAGAAAAAAAGAAAATGTCCAGTTCCCCTGAAAAATGTCATTTCCCAGAAAGACACCGTTGGCCCAGCACCAGCCTTTAACCTGCCTAAGAAAAGAACCACCCAAGAGCTTTCCCCAGTGTGCTGCGCTGAGGGTGCTGGGGGAAAACTGCCCTGGTGTGTTTCTTAAGGACTGCAGCCCCTGGCCTGGGGCTGAGAGTTGTCCTAAACTCCCAACCTGCATCCCTGGGGTAACAACATAGGGTGAAAGGCTGCCCTGTGCCTGGCCAGGAGGGAGATTAGACAACAGCTACCAAGGGGAATCACAGGCCCATGCTAAGGAAAACAGTGTTCGCACTTCTCCCACACGCAGAATGCTTATTTTATTTTAAATTCAGGAGTAACACAGTGAGAACAACAGAAACTTTCATTTCTGGAGCACTGTTCTCGCCTCCTCACTCAGTCTCCCTTCGGAGGTTTGCTGAGTCCAGCCTGGCCCCAGGCCAAACTCTCAAAAGAGGGCCGGGACATGGCTCGCTTTGCCTGTTGTCTGTCGGAACTCATTTCACTGCCCTTTTCTCGGAGGTGCTTCCTTCCTCTCTCTCCCGTTTCCAACACCCCCCACCTCCCTGCAGGTGAATTTCCCATAGGTAGCAATTAGCCTCTGCAGAAGAAAAGTTTTAGAAAGGTGTCCTGGTCTTAGTGTCTCCACCGTGAACACATTGGCATATATGGGATCACACGACTCCACCCAAAACAGAATTCATTCAATGTTTCCAGGCCATGTTCCACCAACTGTTCTTCTGCATAAACTCTCCTGCATTCTTTAGAACATGATTACCCTGCACTCTTATGTGTTTCAGAAATACATACAGTTAATGATCAGCAGAATGTTCTATCCAATGGAAAGGATTTACGGGTTAAAGTAATCACTAACTTCCCACAGCTTTGGTGTCCTGGACCGCATCATTGCACTGTCTACCAGGTGCTTTCATAACTCCAGGAATGAATCTCTTGATGAGCTCCAAGATGGGCCTGCCTTGAGTTCCACTTAAAGGACCAGTGCGTTGGCAAATATTTAGCATCAGAGCCAGTGCCTTTTCAAGAAGTTAGCTGCACAGACGCAAACTGGCGTCTCAGAGTGGAGGGGCGTTCTGGCAACTCCTGTCTCCCCATCTGGCACGTCCAGCCGTGCTGCTGACGTTCCTTCTAGGACACTGTGTCTTGGCACCTTCATTTACACCACACTAGGAATTGACGCAACGGTTTCCAGACTTATAAACTGTGACACTTATAATAAACCTTTCTAGCATTGAAACATATATGTAACAAAATGGCCCCATTACAGCTTTGACCAAGTGGAAAACGCTCAGGGTGTGGAGTCAAACACTCCTGGTTTAAATCCAAATTCTGATTCCATTTAAGTGGTGATTTGGGGTCAGATTGGAAATGCCTGATCATAGGTTTCTTCATCCATCAAATGGGGTCCAGCATTCCTCATGGGGGGCTGCTTGGAGGACTGAGGGGCTATTGGATATAAAAGGGTTTTGTACACAGTAAAATATCCAAAAATATGAGCTGTTCTCATGACCGGATGATAGTTTATGCAACATTTAAAAGAAGTAATCTGTTCCTTACCTTAAGATTTGATACTCTTTTTCCTGAATATATATGTGGTATTAGATCATAATTGAAATTAATTTTACTTTTCAAAGCTACACATAATTCAATGCTTCTTGAGGGCCAGGGACAGTTCTGCATTTGGTAATACATTTTACATAACAGCTGCATTTCACAAACTCGGGGAAGCTAACAATTATGGGAGACACTGGAGTGGGCTTTATGTGTAAGCTACGAGGAGGAAAAAGCAGCAGACATTGAAATGAGAGGACCACGGGGACTGGAAGGCCAGGTGAGGGTGGCAGGCAGGCAGAGGAGACCCACTAGCAAATCAAACGGCTTGGACATACACTGTACTACCTGGCCACTAGCTGACACTCTCCCTTTATGAAAACATAAGGCGGCATTATTTTCCAGGCAATAAAACCTCAGATGAATTCTGCCATATGTGGGCAAGGCTCCTCTCCCACAGAACCCTCGTGCCTGGGAAATAGAATTGAACACATCTTCAAAGAGAGTTCTTGGTAAATATACTACTGATTTCACAACCTCTATCCTCTACACAGACCACTGGAGAACAGATTTTCCCAGGGCTGCCCAGTGTCACCATTCGGTGGCCTTGCTGCTTTCTTTCCTTTTTTTTTTTTTTCTTTTTTTAAGCCAGTGTCTCGCTCTGTTGCCCAGGCTGGAGTGCAGTAGCATAATCCTGGCACACTGCAACCTCTCCTCTTGGATTCAAGCGATTCTCCTGCCTCTCAACCTCCTGAGTGGCTGGGACTACAGGCGCAGTGGCCTTGCTTTCTGAGTCAATCTCTGGGGAGGCGTGACTAACTTCTACTTTGCCTTTCTAAGGGATAGGAAAATGGGAAGTCGGAGGAAAAGGGATAGGAAAATAGAGAAAGGGGCAGACGTCTCCTTACCTTGAGCCATTCACTTGGCTAGGGTTACATTCCATTTTGATGGTGACCCTAGCTGGGGGTTGAGACAGCCAATCCTGCTGAGGGACGCGTGGGCTCATCTTGGAAGTCTGTCCATAGTCGCTGGAGGAGGACGCGGTCATCTCCGTCTTTGCCAGGTGTGGCGTTCCGTAGGCACACTCAAACAACGACTGGTCCTCGCTCACAACTGATAGCGCTTCCTGAATGCCCAAAGAAACGCATAATTCAAGACACTCCAATAGACACTCATGTCTCCAAAAGTTGTTGATTTCAGAGTCCTTTCTAACTGGGACCACATTTTAGATAGTTTTCATGGTCTCCACTTCTACCTTTCAGAAGAAAAAAGTAGCTTGTTTTTCTTTCCTCCAGACAGTAAGGGTTAGAAGTGCCAGCCCAGAGAAACTTTTATGCAGGTCTCAAAGCCTCTCAGGCTTGACAGTGGCAGGGCAGCAGAACACCCACTTTAATCTCAACGTAAGGAAGTTGAATTTCAAAGGTCTTAGAAGACATCCAAATGCATGTGTCATTATTTGACAAATGCAATCTATAATTCAAGCAGACAGAGTACCGAACAGTCATGAAGATAAAAAAAGAAATGTGAAGGCTAACACCTAAGCATCTGGCAAAATTGCCACATTCCCGGGGATTTTGAGGAAGGGGGACTTAGACGAAGACAGAGGGATCAATGGAGCCACAAAGGGCAACCAACCAAAGATACAAAGGTTTCCACTCTAAGTTATTAGCTGAAGTAGAGTTTCAAGTGGTGCTTCCATGATGGTGAACATCTGGATGATAAATGAACCCAAAAAAAGAAAAACAAAAAAAGCTGTGAAGTATCCAGATGCTTCCAAACACCAGGATGTTTAAAAGATCTGGACCACTGACAAGCTCTTTTTTCCCCTTACTTTCTATTAATATCTTTGCTCTTTTGCATGATTGGGTGAGAAGAAATAGCAATTTGTCATTGTTGGATCAATCATTTATTGCAGTTTTAAGTCAAACAAGTGGTTAGCCAAGGGCTATGTTTATATTCTACAGCCAATGAGCTATGGCAAGTTTGATTGGGAAATTTCAGCTACTTTAATGATGTCTTGTGCTGCCATGACACAGAGCTGCTGTGATACTATCCCATTTTGGTTCTTATGATAGACAAAAACACCCATATGAATGCTCATTTTTATATGGGTCTTTTGGCATCCTCAGTATTGACATCAACTGGTGTGAAGCGAAGGCTAATTGGGCCACATATTTTTATTAAAAAATGAAAAAAAAAAGAACTTTGGAGCCAGAGCAGGGAAAGCAGGGGTGTGTGGGCTGTGCACACCCTTCCAGTCCAAACGTCTCACCTCCTGATGAGAAACCTGAGACCCAGAAAGGTCTAGAGTTAATCTTGAATGAGCTGGCCATGATCAACTAGGGAATTGGTGACGGGAATGACTTGTGTATTGCCATCTGCCTTCCCCTTGTCCCCACAGCCCTATGATGCCCTTTATGACATTTTTTTTCATTTGGGACATGTGTTTAAATTAGCACCCTCTTCTTCTTCTTTGACTTGACCTTTAAGTAAATAAGGGTGTTTCCCATCAGTCATTGCACCCTAGAAGCAGCCTTTCTTAGATGGAGACCTCCCTCCCCACCTAAAAGGATCAGAATCTTTAGGAAACTGTCACTCCCCAACCCCACATGTACTCTGTCCCTCTATCCCCTACCTGCCCCAGGACCAAGTTTTTTCCCTAGCTTCCCACGTGCACAAACTTCTTTGCCAGACACACACTGCACTGAGAATCAGCAAGGCAGAACAATCAAACAAACTTGAACCTCTGTCTCTCAAAGTGGTGGTCAGGCCTCTGTGCATATGCAAGCCCCCACCCTCAACTCCATTAGAATCTATAGGATGACAGCCCTGTGACACCTGGGAAAGATGAAGCCTGGAGTTCAAACAGTAATGCAAAATGTACCAAAGAGTCAGTTATGCCAGACAGAGAACCAGAATCAGGCACAAGGAACAAAATCATCTTGAATAGACAGCAAAAGCAAACTCATCCACAAACAAAAATAATACAAGGCAGTGGCACAGAAGCTGACAGTACAGAAATGGCATCCTAGATGTTAGGGAACCTGAATTTCACCGGCTTTCTCTTCTGGTCACAACTGAGTGACCAAATCAAGGAGTCTAAACTCATAGATGTGCATTTCAAAGTAAAATCAGCACCATAGACTTAGTGTAGTCATGCTCGTTAAGACAAAAATTAAACCTTCTTAAATAATTTTTGCAAAACAGATACTCCCTTCCCATGGCAGCATTGGGTAGCGTGTTTTACACTCTCAGAACAGGAAACAGGGCTGATGGCTGCTGCCTCCCTCCTTCCTGGGCCTGAGTCTCGACCAAGGCTCAGAGGGGAATAACACACTATGTAATGTTAGCTTTGGCTTCCCCATGATGAGAAACATGAACAAATGTGTGATTTATATCAGAAATTGGCAAAAACAGGTTATATATAAAATTACAAACTAAAAAGAAAACGGCTGCACCGACAACAAACAAGCAATAACTTTAAAATATTAGTACCTCTCCAAGATGAAGTCAGATATTTTTGCAAACAAATCCAAAAGCCAGATAAATATGGTGTAAGATTAAATTAAAAAAAAAACCAGACCAAAATATTAGAACTAAAATGAAGCTTAAGCGTGTGTTTGTAGGGGAAGGAATTCATTCTCACATCTGGCAAAGCATTATTTCAGCACATGGTTTTCTAAAGAAAGAAATCAAAGTTAATTGAGATGAATTTAGGAAGGGAAAAAACCCTTAGAAATGCTAGAGATAGGGGAGGCACGCCTCCTTTCTTTGTATCTTAAAATTCTTCTCACAGTTAATATTGCACAAAAATGAGAAAGGGGAAATAATTCAGAATGTTAAAAGCAATCCCTCAGTTGCTTTTGTTCAGTAGAAGGGAAAGATTTTAAAAATAAGGAAGTTCAGGATAAACATTTCAAAAGGGGTGAAATACAGCCCACATTTTGAAAAGACAAAGCAACCCGAACTATGCCCCAAAATGATTCTTATTAAACAAAGGCTGCTGAACATCTAGGATGAAGTACAACTCAGGAAAAAGAAACAAGCGAATAAATAAAATCTTTCTCTCTCACACACACTAGGGGAGTAAGAATAAGCTGAGAGTGGTTCTCATAGATCCACTCCAAGAAGAGTGATCACTCAAGTGCTGTTCTGCAGAAGAAAATCAAGCCACACACCACCACGTCTCTTTGTCTTCACACTTGACTTGGTTATAGGCAGGTTTCACCACCCCTTTGGTTAAAGTGTGAACGGCACAGGCTGCCACATAGGACCGTCCCTGCCTGGCAGTCCTGTGACTTCAAAGGGGATCCAGCCCAGTAGGATTAAAACCAGAAAAAGAGCGTGAACACAGGCTGGTAACCAGGACCACATGCGTTCTTTAACTCTGGCTCTGGGAGAGACCTCCTGGCCTTGACTGACATGTCCTTCCTTCCCTGCAGCCTGGCTTCTCCTCCTTATAGCTAGGAGATCTCATCTACCTACGTGCCTACCTGCCACGAGGGGTGGCAGCTGCCTTAGTGAACATGTATAGATTGTTATTGCAGAAACTCTGGCCAGCTGCAGGGCTTGGTGGCTTTACAACAGAGACTATTTTAAACGTCAAAATCTGGCAGAAATGTGGCATAATAATTTCATATGTCTGCTTCTATGTTACTATAAAAAGACTTGAACTTTGGGTTGGTGTTTGCCAATGTGTGGGGTGTTTTTTTTTTCTGTAGCTCCAGGAAAGTTGGGATATTCCCATCAGGCAAGTGGCAGGTCACCAAGACCATTTTTAAAGAACTTATGAGAAACACATAATTCTAATCAAATAGTCGCCAAACAAAAGGTACTGCTGTGTTAGTACTATGGTGTTTATTATTTCATGTCAATACAGAATATACCAATAACATATGAGGACCATTCCTTTGGATTTTGGTCATGGGATAACAGTTGACCTAGAGTTCCAGAAATGGGGGGAGGTCCCACCAGGTTATATCCCATATTATAACTGTAAAATATGCATGTATTTTCAAGGAACTCAACTTGAGTACAACAAAGGATCCAAAATATTTAGATTAAAGCAATAAAAAAACCTAATGAAGTTGAACGCATTCTGACATTTTCAGCAAAATATTTCAGGAATCCTGATGCCTTTCTATAACAGATGAATATTTTGCAAGATGCATACATCTCACCAAAGTATTAGAAAATAAGGGTCCAAATTTGCTTCTAATTTGTGATCCTTACAGCTCATAAAAATATTACATTGTTAATACAGAGAATCTGTCATACTTAAACTCTTTTGAAAATCTGGGAGTGGTAAAGTGCTGAAACTGAGAAAATCTTAAAGAATGGTCAGCTGGATTTCACATCTGGAGTAAGCAAAAACACCCAGGGAAATGGTCCTTTCATGGTTTTCAAAAATTAGGAAGATGGCCAGAACTAGACCTCCTGAGAATTGGATTATCAAATCCATCTTCAATGTTTTCAAGTCTTATATGCCATAATTATTTGATAATTATGAAAAACAAATGGAACAACTAGGTGCAAAAAGAATTTTATGATCGTGATCATGCTTAAAAAAAAAATCTTAGGCCAGGTGTGGTGGCTCACACCTGTAATCCCAACACTTTGTGAGGACAAGGCGGGCACAGCATGAGGTCAGGAGATCGAGGCCATCCTGGCCAACATGA